AAAATACAGGTCCCTTGCAGCTATCTAGAAGTTCAGTGTTTCTCAACCTGTGGGTTGCGGCCCAAAAGTGGGTCACAAGAATATCTGAAAGGGTAATGAGGAAGTCCCAAAAAACATGGGAAAGCACAGGTTTCCCCTTGCAGGCTGGCAACATTTCAGCCTGCAAGGAGTTGATAGGGTGATTGGAAGCAGGGGCATCACATGCGTCTGTGTGTGCACATGCACGTGGCCGGCATGCAGCCAGGCAGGGTTGTGGGAGAAGCCCCAGAAACTGGATGCAGGCAAGTGTATGGCAAGTGGGGACTGGAGGTCCAGGGCTTGGGGACTGTCTGGGTGTGTGTGGAGGGGGTGGGCGTGGGTGCCTGCTGGCACTAAGGGAAGGAGGCCAGAGGCTGAGGCTGCATCAGGGCAGTGGGGACATAGGGGAAGGTGCCTGCCCCTCCAGCAAGGGAAGGGGTTGGGGGGAACTGCATGGCTGGGCTGGTGGCACTAGGGCTGGTGCCCTTACTCACAGGGGCAGGGTGCCCTGGAGATGCTGCTCAGGTGGTGGGTGAGGCCATGACCAAGCTACCTGGCACGGCACAGGAGCCCCAGCTCACCAGATGTAGCATAGCCCTAGCAGCTGGGGGCCCCCTTCAGCAGGACTGGGGGTGGGGGCTGTGGGTGGGGAGTGAGGGGCAATGGTATGGGCAAGGCACTAGCATATCAGGGCTGCTCAGCACCACAAAGCATCAGGGAGAGACAGCTGCAGGTGGACCCGTATCCTGGTGAGCAAAGGGAGCAGGGAGAGCTCTGGTTTTCCATGATAAAAAACCCAAAATCAAACACCAAAATTTATAAGTATTTAGAACTGATTTTACTATAGTGATTAAGGCACTGGTGGACTTACAAACTGCTTTAAACTTGTAATTATATCAATAAAAGATTGTGTTCAACTGATACCTATATATACAGTGGCATTTAATTTTAATCATGGATTTTGGGGGTTTCAAATCAGAGACTCAGCGATTTTTATCAGAGAATTTGCAATTTTTTAACAGAGAAAACCAGAATCCCTGCTTACCACAATATAGATCAAAAGTGAGAAAAACTTCCCCTACAGAAAAAATCCATTTTGTGTTTTTTTAATATTTTATTCTTTCTATAATGTTGTTGTATTTTGTTGTAAAATACCCTCATTGTCTTTTTCAGAAAAGCAGCATATAAATCTGGTAAATAAATATATAACTAAATTACTTCAGTGTTATAACACAGAAAATGAAACTGTAAATACTGTCATTGCACCAGTACTTTTCATTAATATTTATGCATTAAACCCCAAATGGCACATATTCCAATTCACAAGGATCTCGCTCTATTAGCATTTAATCTACTGGCTACTTACTTGCTATTTTCCTCTTCATCCACGGACATACAAATATCCAAACCAGAAAAGCAAATACTAGAGATACACCGATTGATATTAGAGCAATTGCCCACATTGGAAGCACCAGTCCTAACACTGTGAATGCAAAAGAATACAAATGTTAAAAATCAATGTGACATAATTAGTTCACAAAAGGGAGATCTATGCTACACTACAGATCCTGCAGATGAGACATTTGAGAGGGGCGATGGTCACTTTCACACATGCATCCCTGGGATAACACTGCCTTGTGCATGAGCATACTGGGGTATTTGAGGGCCTAAGCTGACATGCATCCAGTTAAAGATGTGGTCCTCAGGTTCTCAGCAGCCATGCCTGTTAGTTCAGCCCCTGCCCCTGACAAAGTCAGTGGCAAAATTCCAATCAATATTGCTGGTGCTGAAGCAATTTCATAATGACTTCATATCCTGATGTAAGCTGAAATGTGCAGTCTGCAAAAGTAAATATTTACTTGACCTTGGTTTTGGTCAATGAAACCTGAGGTTTACTTTAACCTAACTCATTATCTGCATACTTCAAAAGCTTAACAAGCCAACCGAGTACAGAGTGAAGTCAGGTCTTGATTCTGCAATACTCTACACGTGCAACTCTTATGCCCATGAGTAAACCCATGGAAGTCAATGTGTTCCCTGTACAAACTGCACTTAATCATATGATTAGGATTTTCAGGATCAGGCCTTAAAAGGAAAAAAAAAATACTTGGAATCCTGATTTTTCACATGTGTGTACACTTAACTTGAAACCAAGGGAAGCACCTACACATTTAATTTATGCAAATATGTAAACATTTATAATACATCAGCCTCAAAGATGCATTTGTATTTTGCTGTGCATTTCTAAAACAGACCATTCCCTTCATTACTTATTTTAGAAAACATTAACCTGAAACAAGAAAAGACATGAAGATTATTCCTTAGTTCATTTTGCTTTTATACACATTTTGAACAGGACTAGAGCGAAAAAAGTTGGCTGACCAACTGATTCTCTCTAAAGCAGTGCTTGGACCAAGCCAAGCAAGGAAACAGTTTTAAAAGCAGGGAGTAGTTACGGTACTGTCCATCCACATCCCCTTCAGCACGACCATTTCCCTAACAATGTTTGTCATTTTATTAATTTCCATGGTGCAGTGCTGTCAACTACGTGGGTCACAATACACATCTACCTGGCACAGCCAACACACACAGATTCCATAGAAAATATGTTTCTGGGGGTTTTTTTAAGTGACATTTTAGCCCTTTAAGTTATGTTAATATATTACAGTCAGAGGCTTATATTCAACAGCCTGTTATGAAAGCTTTGAGATGTGAACTGCCCATTCATCCCAGGGCACTGGTACAAAAAGACATTTCCCAATGTTATTTACATTGATTTGGGATGCTGACATAGAAAGCACTGGGATCAGGAATAGACAAACATGCAGCTATCTTGGAGTAGCTCACACAGTATGTGGCTGAGAAGCCTTTAGCAAACAGGCTTCCCTAGGATGGGCAGTGACAGAAAAAAAACTAAACCAAAGGTGTTTTACCTCAGATTCTTTCAAGGGTAATGCTCCCCTGATTGCACAAAAGTTACCTTGGCTTAAGATGTGCATTATCTCACTGCTCTTCTTTTTGTACCAGTTTAACATCAAAAGTAAATGTATTGTCTATTCATGCCCTCAATGAATGATAATGTGGTAAGAACAACAGTTGAATGGCCAGAGTCTAATAATTTAGGTGGACAACTGTACACTTGTTCTATGTATATATTTGCAATAATTTAGAGCCATAGGCGGATTCAGAATTTAATAAAAGTGGGTTTGGCATGCTGCCCTTCAGACCTTGGCAGGGATGGGGACAAGGGGTGGATGGAGCTCCAGAGCCAGCAAGGACTATGGGCAGGAGGAGGGAGTTGGGCAGGG